ACAGCAGCCACATCCCTGGAATGGAATCTCCCGGCTCCTCTGTGCCTCTGTGTCCCCCTGGCACCCAGCTGTGCCCAGTTAGTGCTGTGCCTGCCAAGCAGACCAGCATCCCTGGTCATCTTTTGAGAGCAGACCTACCTACCAGGAGCTGCTGGAATGATGTGGTCCCTCTTGCAAGACTGGTCTTCCCCAGGCACAGCCACTCCACTGGGGCTGCAAGCCCATAAGCTGCACTCTCCTTCCACTGCATATTTTCACGTGCTTTAAGATTTAGCTCGGGCAGAACTATCAAATCTCCAGAATTTCAGGCCTATATTCAGAAAAATAGAAATGTTATGTTGTTTGGCAGCCTCTTTTATCAGCCCTGTCTCTTTTCCAACATGATGCTCACAGCTTTTTAAGTGGTTCATCTGCAGGAGGTTGTGTTCTGGGCTGCTGCTGGTAGGAGAAAGGGTAGTTAAAGGAAAAAGTATTTTGAGAGAGGTAGAAATAGCTGTCCCCTCCAGAGAGAGTTAATTGCAGTGGTGACTGCACATCACGCAGGAAGAGGGAAGATGCCCAGGAAGTCTCATGGTGGCAATGTCCTCCTGAGGTGAGAGAAGCAGCAAGTACAGAGTCCCACAAGTGTGGCTTTCCAGGACAGCCTGGGAGAAGCCCTGAGCTCTGTGCTTTCCGAATGCCACTGTATCACTTGAGCACTGCTGCAGTTTTTTACAGGATAAAACACTAAACACGTCAGTCTTTTGTGATCCTTGCACGACTCATTTTAGGAACACCACCTCCTGGGTGCTCACAGCTTTGCTTGCTGTTTGCAGCAGCTCCATCAGGCACATCCTGCACATCCCCTGGGAGCCTCAGAGCTGAAGTGGAAATCTGAAATGCTCCTGATTCAGAGGATGGAAAGACACTGCAAAGTTCATGTACCTACACATGCCTCCAAAGAAAAATGCTGAATAAAAATCCACCTTGATGTGCTCTTGAAGGCAAAAGCCCTCTAATGCAGCCTGTGCCCATGATTTATAACAATGACTCATAATATTACAGTATACTTAATATGATGTAACGCTGATGCAAGATGCCATTCGTGAAATTTCAATGTCACAGGCAAAAAAAGAGGAGAGAGCAGTCTGGTCATGTACCTTGCCATGCTGTCAGAATGAAATGTTTACAGCCAGAATGTGTAGTGCCCTTCAGTACCTACCTTGCTATTTTTTAGCAGGATAACCTGGAGAATAACATTTTTATTTCCTGGAGCATAAATATCTCTCAGACATATATTATTGTGTTACTTACAGTAATTTAATCAACTTCATATTTGAGAAGACAAATTTGCTAACAGACAATTCAGTCTTGCAATTATTCCTCCTCACATGGAAGTTTGCAGGTCAAATAAGGATTATGCCTTTAAATTAATTGAAGCTTTATCTCCCTTTTCTGACCCAGCTGTTTTGAATTCTTCTCCTGTTCCCACTGTACTGCTTGCTCCTTCCTGCAGTGAATCAGCACTTCAGGAAACACTAATTCAAAGAGGAAAGACACCCTAAACTCTGCTTCTGAAGGTCAGAAATCGCTGCTCTCCACCAGGTTTGACAAATGAGGTGAAGCTCTGGGGCTGCTCAGGGCCAGTTTGGTGGGGTGTTTGTGACCCCTGCTCAGAACTCTGCCCTTCCAGCAGTCCGAGGAACTTGTGCTACAAGTGAGTCCTGCTGGATTGTCACCCAGACAGAGAAAGAGCCAGAACCCTGTCCTTCAGTGTGAGGAAAGCTGCCCCTGGCTGTAGGACCCACGGGCACCCCGGCTGTGTTTGTGGGGGGAGCAGGTGGGAATGGGTCATGTCCCCCACACTGCTCCCAGGGGCTGCTCCTCACTGCATCCTGGGTGTGCACCAGGGATTTCCAAGCACTGCACGACCCAAACTGTTCAGCAACGGAACAGGGATGTTCTCCAGCTGTGATCTTTGAAATCCTCCACATCTGACACCCTCAGCTGTCTCATTTCCAGAAAGAACTGACAGACTGTAGAATCCCAGAATACCCTGAGCTGGAAGGGACCCTCGAGGATCACCCCATCCAACCCCTGGCTCTGCACAGACATTCCAACAATCCCTCCCTGTGCATCCCTGAGAACATTGTCCCGAAGCTCCTGGAGCTTTGGTAGCCCTGGGGCTGGGCCCATTCCCTGGATAACTGTATCCCTGCTCTGACAGAGCTGTGCGTTCAGGATGTTCAGAGACTGCTGCTGGCATCCCAGGCAGCACAGAGACACTGCCTGGGTAAAACAGGACACAGAGTTCCTAGGGCTCCTGTGAGAGGCTGGAGAGCCTTGAACTGAGGTCTCCAGAAATCCTGGGTCAAGCTTTTCCTTGGTGGTTCTCCGTCAGCTCATACCCTACAGTCCCTTCTATGTCCAGTGTTCCCAGTAATCCCAGCAGACCATTCTCACCCGCCAAGGTGGAATGGATGATTTTATCAGTGGTTCTCAAGAAGACAACTCGGTATTGATAGATCTGTGCCTTCCTACAGTGCCTCCTGAATGACCTGCAACAGGTGTCACCTTGAAGAAGGACCTGGTCACAGGTGAGCACCAGGTAAGTGGGCACAGCACAGCTCCACAATGCAAGACCAAAGAAGTAGAGAGGACTGACTTTTGAACTGCATAGCAGTGCCTACAGGTGGTGGTAAGAAATCAATAAGAATTGATTTATTTTTGGAAGCCTGGTAGGTGCCAGTCTGTCTCCTAAGTGCATAAGTATCATCAAAACCTAGCCATGGGCGAGTGAAACAAGACAAGAATTTGTAGCCCAGAGGAAAGCCACCATGAATAGATTTTGTGGAGGCTGATAAGATCCATACTGCTCCAAAACAGAGAGTTCCACCTCACAACAAGGCTGTCTTTGTTGTGGAAGAGTCAGGTTGTGAGAATCCTGGCATGCCAAATACCTGTAATGGCCTCCCCTGCCAATTGTTTTTAAATACTGTGATCTTTCACACAGGAGCAAAGCCTGAAAAAAACATGATTTATTCATTCTCTACAGGGCAGTGGAGCAACAAGCATCTCCTCAGTCCTGTTACTCTTTCTCTCCCCTGAAGATTTCAAGCAGAGATTTGTTCAAACAAAGATAGGTAGTTTTGCTCTGTGAGGGATGCAGGAAGAAGCGCAGATCTATCTCTAGATCAGAGAAGTTCCTGAGCCTGCTGGAGAAATGGCAGATGGCCAGAGATAGCACAAACCGCTGCTCTCCCACATAACAATGTGGAGAGCTGAACCTTCCAGGCATGAGCTTTCAGGACAGCAAACTGTGCCCAGAAAGGTGAGAAACACAGGGAGACTCACGGGAAGGCTGGGGAGGCTCCTGGAGCCAGCCTTCCCACAGCCACCAGCAGGACCAATGGCCTTCCTCTGCCCAAGTTCTGTACCTGGGGGATAGCCAAGGCAAAAAACACAACTTTTCTATTTGTCTGTATTTTTGAGCTTTGCTTTGGGGAAATTTTTATGGCCAGTAGGCAGTTCCAGCCATGTTTGCAGTCTGGCGTAGGCTGGTGTGTCATTTCCTGGGAATCTTTTACTGCCAGCACCCATCAAATACAAGCAGACGTTTGAAGGAAGTAGCTTTGCCACAAAGGTGAAATTCCTCTGCTATTTTTTGTTTCACCGGGTCTGTGCTTGTACAGCAGAGCAGGCTGTGAGTGTTGCTGTTTCACTAAGCGTATCAGGATGTACCTGCATGCTACCAGAACCTAAGTAACAAAGATCTCAGATCATTAGTTTAGCAAATATTAATGCTCAATTAAAGTTATTCCTGGAATTCAGGGTTCATTTTGCCAGTGTTGAAATACAAGTTTTCACACCACAGAGCCAGACACAAGCATTTGGGATACTACACAGTATAAAACCCAGAATCTCACCTATAAAACTCCAACAGTAGCATTAAATTAAAGAAGGGTTCGGCTTTTGTTTGGGGTGGAAATGGCTTTTCTTCAATACCATCTGCCTGGCTCCAGCATAACTGTCTCAGAGCATACAGGTAATTACCACAACAAAAATAGCATCCACAAATTAACTGATGCTCCCAACTTCCTTCTCCCATTTGCCTCTAAGTCACACTCACATGATGCTGGAATCAGGACTATTGCACGTGAGGAGGTAAAAGGAGAGCTGAGGAAGCAGGGATTGACATCCCTGGGAGATGGGATCAGCAGAACTCCTGCAGGGAGGGCCCTGCTGGCCTGTGCCCAGGGTGTGGGGAGCACATAGACACATCCCTGGCTATTCCAGCCGCAGGAATTGCAGCCACAGCCCCACTGGGACTGCCTGGGAATGCCTGACCCGCAGGGACCTGGGGAGCACAGCTCAGACCAGGCTGGGTCCTGTGCCTGCCCCAGCTGCCACTGGAGATCAAGCACATGGCCAAGGCAGCAAACCCGGGGTGTTCAGTGCCCGGGGTCCCCAGGAAAGCCGTGTGTGAGAGCTGCTGGAGTCCTGCCTTCCCCAGTGCTGCTTCTGCAGCAGCGGCTGTCCGTCCCAAAGGATGGGATGGGGTGGGAACGCTGCTGTGCTGGACCCAAATCCGTGTCACGGTGTGACCACGGAGTGACAGGGACTCAGCCGGGGCCTTGCTGCTGAAGCCTTTCCCTCCTCGCAGGGGTGGCTCTCACACAAACAGCGACGTTTGGACAGTGGGGTTGAAAATGATCCCTTTTCAACTGAGACGTTCATGTCTGAACCTGACGAGACTCCCACTCACCCACACAGTAGGAGGCAGCTTTTTACCAGAAGTGCCATTCGACTTCCCACATAAAACGTTTGATTTATTTATTTTTTTTTTTTCCTTTTTCACAGCTCCAAAGAGTAACATTTAGACAACTGATGAGCAGATGGTCCAACAACCTGCAGAGGATTCTCTGCTGTGAATGATGTCAGCCCTGTGGCTCTCCTGCTCTGCGGGGCACCAAAGCCCATGCCAGCCCCGGGATGGACACGGGGACAGCGGCGCCACTCACCTTGCGCCCGGCCTCGTTGTTGTGCAGGTTCATGAGCGTCCTGGCGTTCTGCTTGATCTCCCGGGCGTCCACGAAGACCTTGGCGAAGCCGATGCCGTAGCGGATGTCAGCGGAGCAGCCGCCCCATTTCCAGCCCTCCTCCTTGTGGTACTGACCCTGCTTCTCCTTGTCGCAGCCGCAGTCGCTGAGGTTGCCCTGCGTGCAGGCCGCCGTGATGGCGTGCGCCACTCCGGCCGCGATGATGGCGTAGGTGAAGGCGGCCTCCCTGCTCCCTGCAAGGCAGAGCGGGCCGTGAGCACCGGGCGGGGCACAGCGGGCACAGGAGAGGGGCACAGCGGGCACAGGAGAGGGGCACAGCGGGCACAGCAGAGGGGCACAGCGGGCACAGGAGAGGGGCACAGCGGGCACAGGAGAGGGGCACAGCGGGCACCGCCGAGGGGAACACCGGGCACAGGAGACGG